CTTTTTAGTTAGCTCCTAAGAAATGTCTCCTCCATGGCTGGTCCTGTATACAGCTTTGAAATGCTTCAGTGTCTGTCTTTGGTTTTTCTGGAAATGCTGTTCAGAATGTTTGGTTTTATGTGGACCCCGAGTCTAGCAGTAGGCTTTCGAGTAGTCACTGGGAAAGACCCCGTTTCACTCTTGTGGGTCCTCAAAAGCCCAGGCCAGGCTCTGTTTTCAGGGGTTCAAGAGGCGCCACCCGCTGGCTCAGATGCTAGCAAGCAGACTTCATTCTGTAGTTCTTTTGATTCTAGAAGCTGTCCTTCTTCACTGAACTGCTTTTGGTGAATCACACCGCAGCGAGCATGACTGTGTCTAATGACTGCTTTACAAGCCGTGGAAAGCAAAGCACTTGGAAATTCAAAAGGAACAGTGGTTTTCTTCAACCCATTGATTAGCCTTGTGCTGTGAGTAGGGCCTGGAATGCTAATTGTTCATAATTTCCTCCTCAATGTAAATGATCATTAAATTTACCATGTCTCTTAAAAAAAAGTATAGTATTGGTGATCCACATGTGCTTCTGCATTTTGCAGTCTAGTAAAAGGGGACGGTAATTTCAGTGTCGGGGCAGGGGACCTGGAATCCTCACCCTGAAAGTTAAAGTCTTGATTGCTGATCACTTTGTATTTGATGGAGCCTTGGCCTGATGGAGAGACTTCCCTATGTGGTTACACTGTGACTCCTGTGTCTATAGCCAAATCCCAGGAAGCCAGCTGTTGGTAGCACATAGTTACAATGACCCAAGAATTGAATTGCCTATGAGAATTGTCTTAAGAGTAGGAATTTTCGTTTTCTTCAGGTATCTATGACACAGCTTCCTTATACTCAAAGTTAATTTGCTAAGCTGTGGATCCTAGCATGGGTTTGTTAAGCTCTGCTCATTTTTGGTTAAGAATGTTTAGGAAGTAAGGGAGGCAGCACACTCTGATCTTTGTGGAAGGCAGACCCCCCAGAGATCAGGAATGACAAATGGGATTTTATGAAAGTTGGAACAATGTCACTCATCTGTTTTATTATTTTTTCCCACACACTTAGTACTCAAGTACTAATTTGATGAATGAATGATTGATATCTCACCCTATTTTATCTATCAACTCTCTTTTCCTTACCTTCCCAGCTAATGTTTTATCAACAACTTGGCTTCCATTTAAAGCCTTTGCTGTCTTGAGGCATAATGTGCCTCTCTCTCTTTTTTTTTTTCTATTTTATTTCATCACATTCTGACTGCTTCTTTGTCATTCAAACGTTGCTTAGAGAGATGCTTCAGGGAGAACACAGATTTTCATGGGGGCTGTTGGGTCGGGGGCTTGGCTGGAGCTCTAGATGTCATCTGGGGTCAGCTAGCAGCGACATGGTGGACGTGATCTTGCTCGTTAGAGGGGTGTGGTTATGGCAGACACTTAGTATAAAGCTAACCAACAATGAGAATCTGATTAGTATTTTGTCATGTTCTCAACCATATTTTGAGATATGGGGACACCGTTTCGGGCTGGTTCATTGTCGTATCCCTAGAGCCTTAAAGAGAACTTGGTGTGTAGTGGACACTGAAAATTCTGGGTGAATGAAGACTGCTGAAGAAAGAAATCTCATGAACTTCAACATACCAGGGACATGATGGGAAAGGCAGAAAAGGTAGGCAAATGTATGTCAACAATTTTGAACCTAAATGTGAAACGTTATAGTTGGCAGCAAGCCATATGAGGGAAAGTGCCAATGGAAGGCTGTCTTGCTCGAGTGTTGCTTAGTGTAGGAAAACCATGAGTACAGCAAATGGATTTTGCCATCACAGGGGGAGGCTTTTCCCCTAACAGTATAAATTCCAGAGCTTTTCTTTTTATATCACAAGTCACCATTCCAGGCATCATAGCAGTGCTCCAGAAGAGAGAATGTTCTATGGCCTGGGTGTGGCTTAAGTCCTCACCTTGAATGCACTGGGATCCTATGTGGATGCCGGTTCTAATCCCAGCAGCTCCACTTCCCATCCAGTCCCCTGTTTGTGTCCTGGGAAAGCAGTTGAGGACAGCCCAAAGCCTTGGGACCCTGCACCCATGTGGGAGACATGGAAGAAGCTCCTGGCTTTGGATTGTCTCAGCGCTAGCTGTTGTGGCCTCTTGGGGAGTGAAACATAGGATTGAAGATGTAGCTTTCTGTCTTTCCTCCTCTGTATATCTGCCTTTCCAATAAAAATAAATAAATTTTTAAAAGAGAAAGAGAGAATGTTCTAGCAATGAACCAGAATTAGGATTTGTTGAAATGGCTGCCATATAAGGGAATTTCCAGAAGTCTATAGAAAATGGAATTAACCAGAAGGGGCTGGCCTTCTGGTGCCACAGAGGTTAATACCCTCTGCTGGTGATGCTGGCATCCCGTATGTATTGGTTCAGTCCCAGTTGCTCCACCTCTGATTCAACAACATACTCATGCGTCTGAGAAAGCAGCAGCAGATTGTTCAGTACCAGGGCTCCTGCCATTCATGTGGGAGATTTGGATGGAGTTCTGGGCTTCTGGCTCATTCTCTCCCAGTCCAAGCTGTTGTGTTGTGTTTGGGAGTGAATCAGCAGATGGAAAATCTATGTTTCACCCTCTTTGTAACTCTGTTTCAAAAAAAAAAAAAAATTGTGGCTACTCCTTCCTAGAAGAAGAAAGACAGTAGAAGATAATAATTTATTTTGAGGCAAAAAATTTAAAGTCCATTCATAATCTTTTCATAGTATGAATTGTCCATGAATCTTTGAATACCTCTTATATTGGCAAGCTGAAATAGAGACTGAGAGAGAGAGCCCCCATCCTCCGGTCACCCCCTCCAATGGTCATTGGGTTGAAATTCCTTTCCTGGTTTTGCTCCAGTTTCTATCAGAGCAGATGTTGGTAGGCAGAGGTACTAATGGCTTTAGTTTTTAGATTTCTTCACCCACATAGGAAATCCACACTTAGCTCCTGGTTTCTGACTTTGGCCCTGTCCCAGTCCTAGCTATGCTGGACATTTGAGGAATGAGCCAGCAGATGGGGACTTGACTATCATTCTCTTTTCTGCCATTCAGTACATCAATTGATCTATCAAAATAGGAGAATCAGAATTTGTGGGGAGTGGGGTGCCGAAGCCACTCCCAGGAATAGGTAAGGCCTTCGCAGGATGGCAGCTGGCCCAGGGCCAGGAGGAGGGGTTGGTCTCGTCAGCAGGTAAACAAGAAGTCACAGGGATAGGCTGATGCCCTCGCTGCAATTATGTATTGCTACTGGCCTATCAGGTAGTGCCAAGTGGACCCACGGGGAGAAGTGATTGGTGGAGAGTGGTATAAAAGCAGCTGCTAAAAGCAATAAGATGGATGAGAAAAAGAAGGATGGAGAGAAGAATGACAGACGGAACGAGAAGAACAGGGCAGCAGAGAGGGGTAGAAAAGCTAAGATCTTCGGGGAAGAAAAGTTAAGATCTACAGGGAAAAAAGCAGCGGAGAAAGAGTATAAAAGCAGCTGCTTTGGCAATAAGGGGTCTGGTTGTGGTTCCGGCTTTTCCCAGACCCTCAAGAGTGTGCCTCGAAAGTAGTGTCGCTGCGGGTTGGCGACAAGAATTAAGTGAAAATTTTACCTGGTCTTACGTTAGAGTTGAGCTGCTGTTCATCATATGTCCATCTTTAGGTCTCCTCACCATTTGATGGGTGTTGTGGTTCAGGGTGGCCACCTCTCTACTTGGCACATATAAGGATCTCTATTCACACTTTTATTGGTGTAGGCTCATAGGGTCATTGCTGCAGGTCATGTAGCATCATTTAGTCTGTCACAGACCTCATTTGCAGACTGGGAAAACTCTAACAGTTGGTCATCTTGACTAACTGAATGTGGAAGAATAAAGACAAGTGTGGAGGGATGACATAGAGACTCATAACTACAACTGGAATATAATAGGCAGCCAGTTTCTGTGTTACAGGAAAGCTTTGTTGCTGTGTTGTTTGAGTGTGGGTGTCTGGGTTAGAACCCTGGCTCTGTGCTGAGTAGTATTGTCTACCTGTAAAACTTTTCCAAGTTCACAACATGTTCCTTCTGGGAAGTGGAGGGAATATGACTGTGTTGTGCATGACATCATGTTTAGATGAGATCATATATAAGATCTGGGACCAAGGCAATACGCAGTAGTAACATTAGCTGTGACTGCTCTGGTAGTCAGCATTTCATTACTATAATAACAAATACCCAAGAGAAGCTACTTGTAAATGGAGAAGATTCATTTCTGCTCATGGTTCTGGAGGGTCACAGTCCCCAGTTGGTGACACTACTGATCAGGGGTCTGCTGAGAACTGGGGGTGGGGAACAAGTTCTGAGCAAAGCAACTGGTCATCTGCCTGCCACGGAGTCTCTTCTTATAGAGCCATCATGATTGGAACACAGAGACTGCACCCCAACAGCCACACCTTTACATAGCATCATCAGATGAGGTTTCAGCCTGGGTCTGATAACATGAGGCTCTTGGGATCAAGCCATACAGGGCAAGGAGAGGGTGAGAGGTTGGTTTGAGAGATACCCAAGCTGTTATCTAGACCTGCCATAACAGTTCTCTAGGGTGTGTATATCAGATAATTCAATATAAATTACATCAGTGATTTTTTTTCTTAAGTATTAAAAATTCAGCAAAGTACTTTTTAAAAATACTGTAATAGTCTTACACACCAACCTCTGGGAAGAGGGAGTTACAGTTTGTGTCTTTGTAATAGACAGATCACAGGCAAATTTATAGGTACTGTTTTTCATTCAGAGGTAAGTAAAGCATCTTGGTGTACACAATCAAGATTTGTCCTGCTAAGTAGTTTTTGAAATTCCCTGAGGCATATCTAGGGAAGGGTTCCCATGGTCACACTTAGTCTTTACAAAGAAGTTTCTCATGTTAGGATGTCTTTTTTCATACTTCACCAGGAGATACATTGGTGACCGATGTCTGAGAGACTGACATATCTTCTCATTTGATGCAGGTGAGACAGGCATTGGGAAATCTACCTTAATGGACACCTTGTTCAACACCAAGTTTGAGAGTGACCCAGCAACTCACAATGAACCTGGTGTCCGGTTAAAAGCCCGAAGTTATGAGCTTCAGGAAAGCAATGTCCGGCTGAAGCTGACCATTGTCGACACCGTGGGATTCGGAGATCAGATAAATAAAGATGACAGGTGCGTTTTGAGGTTTTGTGGGAATGCATACTTGAAAGTGGCCGAGGAGTTGGCAGCAGTGTCTGTCCCGGCATGTTCAGAGGCCGAATGCTCTTGGTGTTCTCTCCTTGTGGGGTGTGATGCTCTGTTAGCTAACTATGAAATTTTTGTCCTCTGAGAATATTCTTTATTGAAGTCAGACAACAAAATATTTTTTAAAAAAGATTTATTTGAAAGACTCACAGAGAAAGAGATAACTCTTTTTTCCCTAAAGATTTATTTTATTTTTATTGGAAAGGCAGATTTACAGAGAGGAAGATCTTTGGTTCGTTGGTTTACAGCCCCCAGGTAGCTGCAGTGGCTGGAGCTGAACCAATCCAAAGCCAGGAGCTGCTTCTGGATGTCCCACTCGAGTATAGGGGCCTACTGCTTTGGGCTGCCCTCTGCTGCTTTCTCAGGCCGCAAGCAGGGAGCTAGATGGAAAGTGGAGCCACCGGGTCACTGACCAGTGCCCATCTGGGATCCCGGCATGTGTAAGGTGAGGATTTAGGCACTAAGCCATTGTGCTGGGTCCAAGACCATTCTTTTTAACGACTGGTTCACTCTTCAAATGGCTGCAACAGCTGGGGCTAAATTTGGGTGCCTTGAACTCCATCTAGATTTGCCACCTGGTGGCAGGTGCCCAGTAGTAATTGAGCTGTTTGCTGCTGCCTTCCCAGACTCATGAGCAGGGAGCTGAACAGGAAGTGGAGCAGCCAGGTTCGAGTCATTGCTTTCATGGAGTGTTGGTGTTGGAGGCCATGGCTTAACTCACTGTGCCAAGACACCATCCCGTAAAACCACATTCTTTAGAATCGGAGAGTGAAGGGGATAAACTAAAATAAATCAACCTATGTGTTTTCCTACGTGAGTCATAGAACCAAGTCTGGGGGTTTAGGCTTGCAGAGGGATGTGATGAAACTAATACAGCTTGTCCTGTAGCTTGATAGCTTTAGACAAAAATGTTATTATCCCCTAAAATCTCAAGGTAAAGAAAGCATTTTTATGCTTTTATTTTCATCTTTTAAAAATCCTAGTTAACACAGGATTTTTTTTTTTTTTTTAACATTTTATGTACCTATTTGAAAGGGGGAGAAAGAGATCTTTCATCAACTAATTTCACTCCCCATGTGCCCAGAAGAGCTGGGACTGGACCAGGGAACTCAGTCCAGTCTCTCATATGATTGGCAGTGACCCCAACTCTTGAACCTTCATCTGCTGCCTCTTGGGGTGCAAGCAGCTAGCATCAGTAGCAGAGGAGGGCCTCCGACCAGGCGCTGATAAGGGCATCCCATGTGGCATCTTAATGGTGGAGCCAAATGCCCACTGCACACAGAATTTTCAGGTTTATGGGAACGATGGAGCACGAGGCCTGGGTTTGTCCTTTGTGGTGGCCAAGGGGACTCCCTGTGGGCTGCTCTTTGGGACCCCAATTCCCTCTGAATAGTGGCCTCTGAATAGTGAGAAATTCAGTTAAGTTGGCTTGTTTGAAGTTTCCCCGTTTTTTGTTTTTTTTTAAGTTTTTTATCGTTATTTTATGATACAGCTCCATAGACTCTGGGATTTCCCATCTTCCTCCCCAAAATCCCCTTCCTCCCTATTGATTTCCCCTCTAGTATTACAATGGGTGGTCTGGAGGTTCCCTTTCTTGGCGGAAAGGATTTGTTTAGCTAATTAGCTAATATATACAACTGAAGTCTGTGTGTATATGGGAAAGGATATGTTTGGCTTACTAAAGAAGTGAGTTATTTTTTAAAAATGTTGGTCCAGTGGTTTGTATACAGATGGAGGCTGTTGACTACTAACGACTCATGCCTTCATGAACACTGGGTCACCTAATCTTGGCAGGCGTGATTGTAGAGCGAGTGTTTCTTTTCATAAAGCACACATACATCTCAATTTGGGGTCTTTGCTGTGAGTAGTTGTTCATCCTTATCTACAGGAAGCTGTAAATCGTGAAAATGTCCCAGCAGACAGCCCCTGGCATTCACCTCAGGCCCCGCGTTCTGTCCATTCTTTCATAAGACCACTCGTCTCATTAATTCTCAGTTTTAACTTCAAATGTTTTGTGACTCTCACATTCATCCTCAAAGGAAGTTTGAGAAAGTAAGAACTGTCCCAAGGGCAAAGATAATTCCAGAAGGAAGCTTCTGAGGACATTTTTGAACAGTGATAAAACATTGTGGGAGTGTCAGAAACATAAACATCCGGTCTGTAAGTCATGGCACATTTGCTTGAGGCTTCGTTAGAATTGAAGTTTTTTCCCCTCAAAACTATATGTTTTAGCCATGTGTTCTGTAAAGAGGAATTGGAACTATTTTTATCTGGAAATGCATATTGCCTAGCTGTATTCCAACAATCCCTTTTGTAGATGTAACCACCATAGTAATAACAGGGACATGTTTAATTCCTTGCACAGCAGAGCACTGAGCTCCATGTCTATAGAGCACTTTAATTGCTGATCAATAGACAATGTGCTCTAGTAACAGGAGCAATTGTGAGATACAGGGAGAAAGATTTCATTTGCATCAGGTCCACATGGACTATCTATACATTGTGTTGCAGCAGGAGACAGCTAAGCCCCAGCCTGCAGCTGAATTGTTGCTCTTAATTTATGCCCTCAATGCTAAAGCATGATGGAGCAGTCACTGCCTGAAGGCTGGTCATTGTGCCAAGTGAAATAAATGACAAAAAAGCCCAATGACAAGAGAAAGGGGCACAGGTTCCCAGCAAGAGCTGGGAGCTGCTGGACACATCACATGGTCAGAGAAGATGCTCTGAACTAAGGCCCGTTCTCCACCTCTGAGGCCTGTCAGCCTCTGCCTGCCATTGGAGTATCAGGGTTATGCATTGCCTGGTTGGAGGACTGCAGCTGGCCCTGTTCAGAGCCCTGTCCCCAGGAATGAGGACCATCTCAGCTCAGCATCCTGCTGCTAAGAGGCCCAGTGTGTGCCCCACTTTGGTGTTGCCATGAACATGTCACCTTTGCTGCTAGCTGGGATGTCCCTTCGGTTGGAGCAAGTACACTCTCCCACCTCCAGGCCTAAGTGGCAGTAGTTGGTACCATGTTGAGCCTTATCCATCCAGCTGGAGTCCTCTTTCAAAAATTATCTGACTCATTTGGGTCATTAATAGTTTCCAAGGAGATTTAAAAGAGAGGAAGTGTGATATTAACCTAACCTAGATAGCAAAACATTTTTTTTTTTTTTTTGACTCTGAAGTTTTTTGACAGCTATTGCATAACCTCCTTGACTGACATTTAAAACTCTGTTACCCTGTGCCCTGGAAGGCACGGTTGACAGTGCTCACTGTAAACCCAAATGACTGGTTTAAAAATAGCTTCCTCGGACGGGCTGTGCCTCCATGGAGAAATTGGAAGTGGGCTGTGCATTTTTGTGTGGGTATGTCAGTCTATTTGAAGGGATGTGCGGCTCCACTAAACCCAGGATTATTTTTACCTCCTTTGGGGATTAGGCAGGCCTTTCTGCCATAGATGCAAGCCTTGAAGAATGTCCCAGTTTGTTTATCTAGGCTTGGGACAGGTCAGCATTCCTGAATGGCTGTCTGCCTCAGAGCAGGCAGGCTAGAAGCAGGCAGGAAGGGGAGATGTGGTAGGGTTTCCTGTTATGCTTCATTGCTCGCTTAACTCTTTGTGGTTTGAGGGCTTCCTGGTTTGGGCTGTGTAAAGTCACATAGAGAAGGGAATTTGCTGTGCAGCTGGAAAGAGGATATGTCCTGTGTGTGGGAGATGGGAAATGGCACTGTCCGGACCAGATCACTGACTGTCATCATATTTGGCCCTGAAGAGCAGGGGGATCATAATCCACTCTGGGAAAATGCCTCAGACTCACCAGATCTCTTCTCAGAGCTGGGAAATAGTGCCGAAAGGCTTTGCTAGGGCCTCTCCTAAGTTGTCACACTTGCTGGCAGAAGTAGTCCAAAGGGAAGGAACGCTGCCTTTGGCCAGGAGAAAGCAGGATCAGAGAACAGGTGGTCAGAGTTGGGGTGTATCTAAAAGGGAAGGTTGGTCCTAGAGTGATGACACTGGCCATTTTGCTAGTGGGTACCCCATCTCTGTGGGTAGTTAGTTAGATGGAAAACTATGTATTAAGTATCATTTTCTAGGGACCAGCTCTGTAGCATAGCAGTTAAGCACTGCCTGTGACACCAGCACTGTATGGGTGCCAGTTGCTGTCCGGGCTGTTCCACTTCTGATCCAGCTCCATGTTAATGGCCTGGGAAAGCAGCAGAAACTGGCCCAAGTTTCTGGGCCCCTGAATGCTTGTGGAAGATTGCGGTGAAGTTCCTGCTCCTTGTGGCCAGCTGGGTTAACTAATAGATGGAGGATCTCTTTCTGTCTTTCCCTTTCTCTGTAACTTTTACTTTCAAACACGTAAATAGATCTTTAAAGAAATATTTTTTTCTATCCAGTTTAGGGTCAGCCTGTTGCGTACTGCCTTTCTTGTGGTCAGAATGATGTGAAGGAAGTGAGTCGAGGGGAGCAACAACACTAGGGAGGGTTTTTTTTTTAAGCTATATTTATTTTTGTTGGAAAGGCAGATATACAGAGAGCAGGAGAAACAGAAAGATCTTCTGTCTGCTGGTTCACTCCTCAAGTGGTGCAACAGCTTGAGCTGAGTGAATCCAAAGCCAGGAGCCAGGAGCTTCTTCTAAGTCTCCTATGTGGGTGCAGGGTTCCAAGGCTTTGGACCATCCTTGACTGCTTTCCCAGGCTACAGGCAGAGAGCTGGATGGGTAGTGAGGCAGCTGGGACACGAGCTGGCACCCATATGGGATCTTGGCACATGCAAGGCGAGAACTTCAGCCACTAGGCTACCATACTGGGTCTGACACTAAGGAGCTTTATGGACAAATTATGCAAAAGTATCAGGATCAGACTCCTGCCTCCCCGCCCCCCCCCCCCGACGTGGCAGCCATCCAGAGCAGTTGCAATTGGCCACATGGAATGTGAACAGGTGTCC